GTGTTTAAAGTTAATTCTCTCTCCTTTGTACAGATTTCAACCACACAATTTTTACTTTATTAATCCACGTGAAAGTCAAAGTTGGCGTAACTTTTGGAGACGGAGAGAGTAATACGGAGTAACTTTTTGTCTTGTTTTTATTAACATGTTTTAATTTAATAATATTTTAATAAAATCTCATATATTAACGTACTTAACCAATTTTAAAAGCGTTTGACCAAGTCCTTTATTCATAGAGGTTTGAGGAAAAGGCCAAATTCGTCTAAAAATATATGTTATAGTTAACTGGCAACATATTATAATCACATTTTTATCAAATCGAAGCTCATGAGTATTATTTTCTCATTCTTTCAAATAAATACACATGTTTTTTTTTTTACATTTTCCAATAATTTAATTGTTTTTTTCATAGGCATAATATAAAGACGAGTCCCGTTCCTATCAGGAGCTCCTGAAGAGAAGCCCCGTGCGGACAAGCCCATCAGAGGGTCTTCCCGGTGGAATTTTTTGATGAAATTTTTTGAGCATGTTCCTCATCAAGTCTAGTTTGTTCATACCAAATTTCAGCTCAAAATTCTATCGGGAAGGCAGTCAAATAAATCCTGGAAACATACTGCACTTTATATGTGCGCAGAATGAGCCATACTTTTCCAGGATTTATTTGACTGTCTTCCCGATCGAATTTTGAGCTGAAATTTGGTATGGACAAACTAGACTTGATGAATAACATGCTCAAAAAATTTCATCAAAAAATTCCACCGGGAAGACCCTCTGATGGTCTTTTCTGCACGAGGCTTCTCATCAGGAACTCCTGATGTGAACTGCCCTCATACAAAGACATACATAGTACTCCCTCCGTCCCACAATGTTTGGGACAAAGGAGTGTGGCACAAATTTTAAGAAAAAGTGGAATTGTGTGGTTGGTGTTGAGTTGATAAAGTGTGAATAAAGTAAGAATGAATTGTAACCACCCAAATATTGCCAAATATGGTATGAGACAAACTTAATGGGACGGACAAAAAAGGTAAAATGGGACAAAGTTAGGGGGACGGAGGGAGTATATATTAATAACAAGTAATGAATGGACAACAATACCAACTAGACAGACATTATCAATCTCATGATCTCATGATTTTCATCCCTAAATTCTATCCATACATATGAAATGTGTCATACTCATCGGAAAGGCTCCCACACCTTCAATGTTCTAAAAAAAAAGGCTCCCACACCTTCAGTGGGGTAAGGGGGGTCGGATGTACGCAGTCTTATCCCTGTACTTAAGTACAAAGAGACTGTTTTCGAATGATCCATAGTGAAAATTGCGTCGAAAATTGCATTGACTGACTGTTGCTTCATAACAAAGAAGTGCAGACAGTGTAATGAGTCATTTTGCTTTGTTCCATCATATCCTAAGCAAAAGAGTATCGAGTCTTTGGCTCCAATGCAAATGATGGAGACAAAAGATAGTTTGACTACATATCTTCCCAATAAAAGTAATACTTTTTTTCTTATTTTTATTAATCAAATGATTAGTAAAAAAATGAGGCATAGTATTTGCAGATTGTAATTTTCACTCAAGAGTAAAAAAATATGGTCTCATATCATTAATGTCCAAACAAATATATCAATCACTGGTTTGACTCTTACATTTACGGTGCCACACCATTTTTTAATTTGGTTCATGAGAATATATTGTCTTTTTCTGATAGAAAGAGTCAAATTATTATTATTCCATGAATATTCAATGCCATTCAAATCTAAATATCCCTACGACGAAATATACTTTCTTCGATTAGATGAGTCATGACTCATGACTCATGAGCCGTCTTCTTGGATTTTGGGATTCCTTCCTACAAAAATCTACGGAGTATATTTTATACATTAATTTTGACATAAACATCCTCAACAAATATATACTGGTATTATTTCCTATGTCCCGTAAAATTTTATTGGTTTGACTTTCTTTATCAATAGTGATTAACATTGAGACATTAATTTTAATTACAAGTATTTCAATAAAGAAAATTTCCATACCATTTTCTTGTGATACATAATATTCGTATTAATACATATTTTTGGTCAAACATGAAGATATCGATTAATAAGTGGACAAGTACTTAAATTAACAAAACCTGAGAAGTCCTCTTTTTAAAGCATTTTCAAACCAACCCTAAATTATACTCCTACTCCGTGAGAAATTTATTTTTCTACATTTTTAGTAATAGAGAATGCATTAGATAAGTGTGAAAATAAAAGGAACAAAAGTGGATGAATGCTGATAGTAATAAGAGTCACAGGGTTGGTCAACATTTTAATATCCAACATTTTAATATTCAACATTTTTTAGTTGCAACGGTCAACATTTCACACTTGCCAACGCACGTCTTTGACCGTAATTATATCTTAATCTCTATTAGTAAAAAATATTTAAAAATTAGATTTTGAAAATTTGTAATGAGACAAATTGAAATATATTTTTTTATAAAAATAATTTTCATAAAATAATAATATAAAATGTAATCAAAGTAGTACATGTGAATAATGTAAAATTCAACATGTTACTATTCAAAAGGGAAGGGAGGATATTACGGAGTATATTGCAATTTGCAACTACCCATTTACAGGTTGGGCATCATTCAGTCAAATATTCTGACACCTAATTTCATAAGTAAGAATGGGTTCGCAAATATTATTCAAATCAACTCTTCTTCATTCTGCCAAAAAAAAAAACTCTTTTCTTCATCTTTCTCCATACTCCATAGATTCATTCCCAGCTTTAACAAGATTTAGGTATGGGCATTTGCATGGGGAGACCAGCTAAGCTTGCTCATGCTTCTTCTTCTCTATTTCCTGGTACCCTCCCCCCCAATCCCACCAACTATTACTATTTTCTGTTTTTGTCATTGTTTTCTAGACTGAATTGCAACCAAATTTTGACGTACCTACCAATCATGATGTTTGTTTAGTAATCAAGAGATGTTCTACATAATTCATGAAAACTACCATATAGAAGATATTAGTCAATCAATTAGACTATTATCTTTTTTTTTTACTTAACTAAAAACAAAATTCCGAAAACAGAAGTGTTATTCTCATTTTTTGTTATAGTTTGCAAACATGAACGTGAGTACTATAGTTTAAAAGTATATGTCAGACATTCAAAGGGTACACAAGATTTATAATTTGGGACTGGTGATAATTTGGGAGGATGAGTACATATAAACAGTGGTGGAGCCAGAGGTTTTTCGGAGGGGGGCGAACTGAAGATTAAGAATTATTGTGTATTTGCTCAAAATATAATAAAAACAATAAAGGCGTAATTTGTTAGCACAAATTAGGTCATTACATAATGCTTGACTCATATCTGTAATCTGGGTAGATCACACATACAAGTAATTTTAATTTGTTCAAAATGTTGTATAATAGATTCAATATCACTTTGTATCACTTTGTGATATTACAAAGACTAAGAGGAAGCGGTCTAGCTAAGCTGATCGCCGACTCACTCTCCCTTATGGGAGGTCCCGAGTTCAATTCTCAATGGAGTGAGATTGATCACAGTTTACCCCAAGTCCCCCAAACCCCCTCCCCCCGACGCCTCCTGGGAAAAAAAGACTAAATGTAGCAATATCACTTTGTATTACCCTCACTCACTCTTTGTATCTGAGACTACTTCACTCTACGTAACTCGATCACAAACACTTTATCAAGCGATATATGAAATGAGAATTCGGTTGATAGAATTCATCCGACTAGTATTAAAATACTAGTCGTCAGGGTATTGGGATGAGGATATGTTAGAATTGATCCAAAGATTGGATTGTGAAATGTTGAGCCTTAAGTAGTCTTAAGAGATACTAAGGTGGATAAGTATGAACTTTAAGTGATACTAGGGGTAGGTTTTAAGGGATACCCAAGATAAAGTGAATAATAAATTGATCCTAGTTGTAGGATTGGCCTACGAGTGTATTTCGGTAGTCTTTAAGGATAGCCGGTTGAATTTTGGTAAATAGTAAGGACCATGGCCCTTCCCGATTCTAGAGAGCGGGGTTGGATAGTATGGACTTACATCGTGATCACGGGTTAGGGTGGAATCCGAACCGGAGACCTTACGAGGCTCCCAATAGCGGTAACACTTAAGATAGGACCCCGAATGGACCTTACCTTCCCACGGGATGATGAGTTCAGGAGCGGGATGTTGGACTTCGGCCCGAGGGCCTGACGAGGCCTCAGAGAGCGGTGACAAGTCTCGTAAGAATGATAAGATCTACGGGCGGTGTCGTGTAAACGACGGATATAATAAAATATGAAAAGGGGCCGCGTGCCGACAAATTAATTAAATGACTTATTATGAAGATAATAAGGGTTAAAGAAGAACTATCGTTATGTTATCATATCACTCTATTTGAGGGTCTTAGAAATTGAAGCATTGATTATACTTAGTATAGTTGTCTTTGTACTTGTCAAATGCTTCCAAGTACTGACCTCCCCTTCACGGGGGAGGCCACCTCACAGTTTCAGGTAGGAGTTGAGCTTGCTACCAGTGCCCGTTGCTTCGGGAAAATCAAGGAAGGGAGACGTGGTTCGTGCTTCCTCCGCCTCTGTTTTAAAAACACGTAAATTAATGCTCATGGATATTATTTTTGAATGATTGTTTGGGGGCTTGTATGCCCATGTTTGCCAAAGTGTGGTATAAACACTTGTATTAAATGTTTCTGCTGTTTTAAATAAATATTTTTACATTATGTTTGTTTATGGATGTATTATGTGTGGATGTTATTCAAGACGCCTAGTATAGTATGGATGAGTTGGACTGCGGTTGACTATTCGTACTGTACGGCGGGTTGCTGACGTGTCCGGTAGGTCCGGGGCGTGACTCTGGGAACCGTCCCAAATCGCGACGGCCGGACAGAGTCTCTTATATAAGGACATATTTGACCTTTTTATGAAAGTTCTAGGACCTATATGACAGTTTTCCAGTTTTTTTCAAAAAAAAAAAACCAGAACTGTGTAACGAGCGGGTATTCAGCTGGACGGAAAAACAAAACCTTAGACAAATTAGGAGGCGCCTTTGGCTCCAATACATCCCAGAAGATTTTTTCCCAGCCTCGCGATTTGCAGTTGCTCCCATAGGCAGTTGTAACGGCTCCAGCGCGGCATCTTCTTCACACGGCCAGGCCTGACGCCTCCACTCCTGGTTAGTGGTTAGCCTCCTTCACAAATTGCGACCTAATTTTTGTACATCTAATATAAAATTTTAGAATTCATTTCCTAATTCCCATTTCCAACTACTCGCCTTGAAAATATGGGAAGATATGTTGTTAGGTTTAGTGGATTGACTGGAATCTTAACGAATTGAATGTCTCAACTCTTAATGTAGGCAATATAGTTTTGCCTAATGTTTTGTTCAATTATTGGGGTGTCCTCAACAATTGCTTAATTTATTGTTGTGACAGTACAAGTTTTTTCTTAATTTATTTGCTGGTGTTGCGCAGTTGCGGTGTGAATTTTTGCTTAATTTATTTGTGTTAATATCAAGGATTTTTGTTGAAGAAAATTCTACTCCATTTATGAAACTCCATTTTTGAATGGTCGTCGCCATGAGAATTAGGAGGATTTTCTCCGCCAAAAAGTCCTATTTAAACCATCCAGACTATAGAAAGAATATATTGTACTAATAATTTTTATTTTTTTACGAATTTATTATTTAAATTTCTTAATAGGAATTCATATTCCTAGAGTGACAAAGCCAGTTGGGGTGTGTTAAGAAAAATTAATTCAAATAATTTGCTATAATTACAATTTTTCATATGTGAACACAAAGTTTTTTACTGAATTTAAAAGTAGAATCATGTTTCTTTAAAATCTGATGCCTTCTTGTGCTCTCCATTACTCCATATAGAACAGCTTTTCATGTTCTAAATATCGTGCCTTCTTGTGCTTGCCATTTTGCTTCAGTGTTTGTTGATGCCTTCCTTCTCACATACTTTTATTAGGCTTTAAACAAATACCCGTGGGATTAATTTGATTGAGGGGAAGTATCCAGCCTAAATTAGAACTACCTTTGCTTGATCCAGAATCTCAGTCTTGCTCTACGCCAAGAGGTGAAGGTGTTTATACTTTTCAGCATTTTAGCTTGTTTCTTGAGGGGTATGGAATTGTAGTTTTTGGTAATCTTTATATTCATGTTAGGGTGAATATATCATTCCTCGATATGGATCTTGAGGCCGCACGCACCGCGCGCGACTCCCTGGACTTGGCATATCACATGTCGAACATTCTTGATACCGGCCTTGATCGCCAAACCCTCTCCATTCTCATTGCTCTCTGTGATAAGGGTTTTGACCCCGAGGCCTTGTCTGCTGTTGTCAAGGAGCTGACCAGAGAAACTTCTTTGTCTTCTTCCTCTTCGCGAACGCCCACTCGCTCTTGACTCTGGAAGATCAATAACTCAAGTAGATTTAAAATTTCCAACAACTTTTCTTTTGTTTAACATTCTGCTGATGCCTGGTGATCTCATTTTAAGTTTATGTTTTGTTTAGACGGTTTAGTTGTGTGTTGATCTCTGATGTTATTCAATCTTCTGATTTAGGAAATGAGAGCCAGGGTCCACTGAAGTGATATTATTAGCCTATAAAAGCCTATCACTAGCAGTGTTAAAAGCTGTATCAGTAGTACGAACTTTTGGCTCACTAGAGTGCCAGGAGTTCACTGGAGAGAGGGTCCATTGAACTCCTAGCTCAGTAGCAGTGTTCAAAAATCAAAACTCAAGGACCCTGGCTCTAGTGAACTAGTCTTGATTCATTAGAGAGGGATAAAGAATCAAATACATACTTCTTAACCTACAAAATACGAACTCATCTTTGCTGTACATATTAGTGAGATTAGTGTGCGAATGTTGCTATTTCAAGACAACAAACATAATATAGATTGTATGCTAATATATTGGGAAAAGGTGCAAATAGGCCCATGTACTAACCAAAAAAGGTCAAATAAGCCCTTATTTAGGAGGCTCTGTCCGGCCGTCGCCATTTGGGTTGGTTCTCGGTGGAATTTTTTTGAGCATCTTATTTATTAAGTCTAGTTTACTCATACAAAATTTCAGCTAAAACTTCAATCGGGAAGGCATTCAAATGAATTCTTGAAAACAACTGCACACTTAGAAGCGCAGTTATCTTCAAGAATTCATTTGAATGCCTTCCCGATTGAAGTTTTAGCTGAAATTTGATATGAGTAAACTAGACTTGATGAATAAGATGTTCAAAAAATTTCATCAAAAAATTCCACCGGGAACCACCCCAAATGACGATGGCCGGACAGAACCTCCTAAATAAGGGCTTATTTGACCTTTTTTGGTTAGTACATGGGCCTATTTGCACCCTTTCCCTAATTTATTTCATTCCATCTTTGCGATCAAATTGAAATCCTATGTGGTTTCCATCTCAAAGCTTCCCTTCATCGTCACCATTATCATTTGCTATGGTTTTCCTCTCCATCGCTCTTGTTTTTAATTGTTTTTTGTTTTCGTTTTCATATCAATTTTATAATTTCGTGTTTGCAAAATTCTTGTAATTTTAGTATGCAAAGATGTTCTATTTTTTTTATCATTTAACATGTTCCTCGTTTATTATGTAATTTGTGATCACATGAATTACGTGTGCATGTAGTCATGGACTCGGGTCGGGCCGCCCGGCCCGGAACCGGTACTGTTTGGGCCCGGCCCGGTACCCGGTTATAGGACCGGTCCGGGCCACCCGAGCCCGGAATTAATCGGGCCGGGCTCAGGCCTCCTAAAAGTGGAACCGGCCCGACCTATTTTTTTTTTCTTTCGGTTTTTTCAATTTTTTTGGTTTCTCCCGGGTTGGTCTGGGTGTTTTGGGGGGGGGTGGGTGGGTGGGGATTCAGGGGTTAATTAGAAAAGCAAAAGAAATTAAAAAAAAAATAACATGAACCGGCCCGGCCTGGAACCGGTGCCTACCCGGGCCGGTTCCAGTTCTTCCTTCCCAAAAAAAAGCCCGGCCGGGCCCGACCCGAGTCCATGACTATGTGCATGTCGTTTGAGTATCAAATAGTGTAATGCAGATATGATAATGATACTGATAAGTGATAAGATGCATGATATGAACTTTTAAAATGTACATGTCATAATCAGGGGTGGATACGGGTCGGGCCACCCGGCCGGCTACTTTGCAGGAGCGGGACTGCTCCGGTTTTCGGGTCCGGGTTCGGGTCCGGGTTCGGCCGTAGGCCCGGGGGAGGGGGCGGGTCCGGGATTGAGTCTTACATTTGGCGAAAGGGCCCGGCCGGGTCGGGCCCGGGTCTGGGCCATTTTTTTTCTTCATTTTTTGGAGTTCCACCGGGTTGGGCTTGATAGTTTGGGAGGGTTAGGAAAGCAAAAAAACCAAATCGGAGGCCTGGCACGGACCCGGACTGTACCTGGTGGCTACCCGGGCCGGTCCCGGGTCCACCAATTCTGAACCACCGGCCCGGCCCGAATCCATCCCTAGTCATAATGACAAAATGCAACATATGAACCACTAAGATACATATGTTATAGTGATAAGATGTTGTATAAACTTCTTCTAAAGTGCACATATCATATTACTAAAACGCAACAAACTTCTAAAATGCACATGCATGTTATAATGATAAAATTCAACATACGTACTTCCTAAACGCAGTGTTAATATACTTTTTCACTATGTAGTGCTAATGTAAGGTATGAAGACATTATGAATATATAATGTACGTAACCTTAATATGCACATCTAGTAATCTTAATATGTACATCTAGAAACTTTAAATATGCACATCTAGTAATCTTAATATGTACATCTAGAAACTTTAATATGCATATCTTGAAACTTTAATATGTAGAGTGTAGACACTTGTGCTTGAGCTTGCTTAATTCTTACTTTAATATGTTAAAAGTTCTTATATAAATTATTATGCACACATTATTGATACGTAATGCATCCATAACCTTAATATGCATTGTTAAAATGGAAGATTAATTAGGAAGTGATTAATTCGATAATCAAGTTATATCTTTAATTAATGTTTCTAGTAATTATTATTTATTAATTAAAATGAGAAAGTTATATTGCAATTTTCCACATTTACGCGTATTCATATGAAAAAAATCTTCAGCCTCCCATATTTTAATATCATATATGGAGTACTTGGGTAGTTGTGACTTGTGGTATTAGTGGTAGGTTACCATAGGGGTGGACCGGTTCGGGCCTGGGCCCGGCCGGGCCTCGGTTCAGGAATGGGAGGCCCGGAATCGGCCCGGGTAATCCCGGGTCCGGGCCGGGCCTCGGTTTTTTTTTTTTTGGTTTTTCCTAATTAACCCTCAACCCTCCCCCCAAACCACTTCAAATAACCCAAAATACCCAGCCCAACCAAAAAACTTAAAAAAAATTCAAAAAAAAAATTAATTTGGCCCGAACCGGGCGGGCCGGTTCACCAATCCTAGGGCCCGAGCCCGAACCGCATTCCTACTGGGTCGGGCCGACCCGAACCGCCCCCCGGACCGGTTCCCGGGCCGGGCCGGGCCACCCGGCCCGAGTCCATCCCTAGGTTAGCATTGGCACAACCGTGTTACATTCAATTTATCTCACCACATATTCCTATGGTGAATGCTATATGTACAACCCTTGATGTGACTAATCTAGGCGTCCGGTATTTATTGGGCGAAACGTCACCCACCCACTTTCATTTGAAGTGATTTCGGATAGATTTTTTGATTAAATTTTGTGAGCATGTTTTTCATTAAGTGTAGATTATGTCTTCCAAATTTTAGCTTAAAATTCAATCGAAAAGTTAGTTAAATACATTATTGAAAAATACAATTTTTATATTTTTAAACCCGTTTTCAAATAAATTGATCTGAAATACAAATCACAAATAGTACAAAATATTAGTTCCCAATATTACCAACAAATTCAAATCCAAAAAGAATAATTTATCTAAATATTTCGTTCAACATACATATAAGTAAATAATAAAAGTTTTTTTTTTTCAAAAATCTTACTAAATCAAATGAATGGATAAAAGTGCGACTAAAGTTATTATAGATATATTTTCATGGTTACTATGGTATACAAATTGAACATACTTGTAAACACTAAAAGTTATTAAGTCATTTTGTTGTTCATCTTGATTATTTTAGTCATATATTAAAAATTATTTCTAAATATTATTAGTATAATATATTGATTTTATATTAAAGGTAATTATTTTGGTTTTTTTCGGTCATGACATGCTATAGAATTCAGGGGTATTAAGGATCCTGGTTTTTGAAGTTTGATCCGGATATTTTTATAGGACTGTTTAAAAAGAAAAAACCGAGACAACAACATCTTTCGGATTTGGTTAAGGTAGATTTACAGATTTAGATACGGTGTTTCACACCCCGACACATTTTTATGCGTGAAAAACATGGATTATGAAAAAAGGGAAAATGAACAATTATACCCTTCTAGTATGAGTGTAAGAACAAATATATCTTTGTTCTACTTTTTGAAACAAATGTACTCCTGAATTTTATGTGGAAGTACATATATACCCTTGAACTTTTAAAAAGTGCAAAAATACCTCTGAACTTTTTGAAGGTACAACAAAGGAACAATTTACCTTTGTTGACTTTAAATATTTAAAATAAAGGGAAAGAAGAAGAAGAGCTCTGCCGCCCAAGTCGCCAACGATATGACGATGAAGCTCAGGGGTTCGCTCTGCTCACAAGAATATATAAATATTTTTAAAGGCAATAAGGGTAAATTTACTCCTTTATAGGAACATGAGAGATATTTTTGCAACTTTTAAAAGTTCAGGGTAAATATGCCCCCCAACATAAACTTTAAGAGTACATTTGCTCTGAAAAGTAGAATAATGATATATTTGTTCTCACACTCATACAGTCATACTACATGGATGCATTTGTTCCTTTTCCCTATGAAAATATGATAAGCCTTTTGATTCTTTTATGAAACCCGACCAATATTTTTCTTTCTTATCTCACTTTGTCTCTTCCACACTTGGTATCCATGGTAAAACTGAGAAGTTAGGACCTTTCTTGGTGTATACAAATTATACATTGCTTGTGTACACATGCATTTTAGCATCAAATCTTGTTCCTTTTCAAACGAATTGTCTGTAATAATAAGATGGTTTTGTGTGCACTTTGTTTACAACTCATATACTCTAGGAATGTTCTCCCTAGAAGTATACAAACGAATATTCTTGAAGGCAGCAGGGGCGGGGCGATAGGCCCAAAACTTTGGAAAAATATTAAGCCCAATTTTTATCCTTTACCGTTGGTGTATGTAGGCTTTTTTTCAGGCCTAATCCAAAAAATTTATGTGGCCGAACAGCGTAAGAATCGGAAATGACGGAGTAACAATAGCCCAAAATTAGGAAAAGAAAGACGGAGCAACAGATTTGAGAACTTCCTTCACGACTTCTAAACTTCTAAGCATTAAACCTTATTACAGAGGAGTCGACACCAGAGACGATCGTCGATCGATAGTCGGACAGTCACAAAGCTGCAATTTTTCCCAAACCCTTTGGCCCTTACTGGATAACTCCCTAAGCCCTTGCCGCCGTTCTCACCTTCTGGTACCAAACTCTCCTTTTAACTCTTTTAGTCTTTTACTTCGTATTTATTATTGGAATCATTTGATTAGTTCATTAGTTTATCGGTGTTATATGTTGATAAATGATTAATGATTAGTTGATTGTTGTATATTGATTAGTTCATACTCATAAATCATTGTTGTTGATTGTTGCCCGTTAATTCGTTCCTCACTTGTTTATTGAGTTCTTAATTAATTGATTTGAGTAGCGATTTAGCTGATAAGTTCTTAATTGTTAGCTTAATTGAATTATACGTAAGTGATTAGTGATTTTTCTGTTACGTAATTCAATTTGGATTGTCTAATACTATTGTTATTTGTTCGGTAATATTTGAATTATACTAACATTTTCCTTATTCAATTAAAATTTAATAAGTATTGAAGTAATTTTTTGATTTTGTAACCGTGATTCTAGTTTGTTTGATTTAACGAATTTAAAACTCTTTTCTTTATTTAAAGGTCTTGAAATACTCCGTGTTATTATTTATTATTAATATTATTTTTAGGGGTAATTTGAGTTTGCACCCCATTTTATTGTTCAAATTAGACTTTGCACCCCGTTTTTAAAAAACTTTGTTTTTGCACCCCAAGCCCGTATGAAAAGACAAAAATGCCCCTCAAGAATACATTGAAGGCCAACAGAATTGTTATAGGAGGGGCATTTTTGTATTTTCATATGGGGTTGAGGTGCAAAAACAAAGATTTTTAAAAACGGAGTGCAAATTCCAATTTGGACAATATAATGGGGTGCAGACTCAAATTACCCCTTATTTTTATTATTGTTGTTGTTGTTATTATTATGCAGGTTAGTTTAGATAGAAAATAGTTTTACAATTTTTTTTAAGATCAAGCCCATTTTATTACCCGCCACTACGCCTTGAAAGAGACTGTACCAGCCCTGATTCGCCCCTCCTCGTCGACACAGACTCACAACAGTTGACTTTTCCACTCATAGCTGCAGCCGTAACTCATTGCCTACATCATTCCTTGTTTTCTCCTATATGGTGTGTACTGATTTTAATTTGTACTCCGTAATTTGTATTTTTACTAACTCACATTTCACAGTGGATAGTTCTCCTTTTTGTTGAATCTATTGTTATTTTTCTGGTAGAAACTGACAACTCATGAGTCGCTTTGCTTGATAGATTGGTGCCTGACCGTGATATTTTTTTCTCAAAGAAGTTTTAATCTTCTAAAATATTGCTACACCATTAATTCTTATTTTGTTTGGATTTTAATCTGTAATCTATTCTGCTTATTGTCTTGTTGACTTGTATTAAATGTATTACTCCCTCCGTCCCGCTAGAAGGTTCCCGTTACGGTTTACGATGCTTGATTGATGATAAAGCAACTTAATCCCTGTTCATACTCTGATTTTTTTTAGTAAATAAAATTTACATATTAAGAAACTACATTAAAACCGCTACAAAGCCTGATAAAAAATATAAATTTGATAAAAATTTGATATATAAAGTAAAAGATAAAAAATGATTTTAGTTGACCATGTGAATAGTGGACGGGAACCTTCTAATGGGACGGAGGTTGTAATATTTTAGTGATGTTAAAAACTTGGCTTGTGAGCTATATACATTCGCTGCTAAGTTACGTAAATATTGTTCCTGACAGATATTTGGGGCATGAAAGTAAAAGCATCGGTAGTTGAATGTTCTCTTCTTGGCTCTGTTGTTTGCTATCAAAAAAGGTGTCCCTATAGCTCAATCCAGAATCTTTCTAAACCATCACACCCCCTGTACAAACTCAGGTTAGTTCCTTCTCATCATTTGCGCATGTCTTTTGCCACTATAATCCCAAACCAACTCTTTTGCAAGCCACTTCTGAAAGCTGTTGGCTTCCAAACCTCAAGTGCTGCCTTTGGAAAGCTTGTCTTCGTCAAGCCTATTTCTTTTAATAAAGTTCCAACAAGACCAATTTCTTCAATGACATCCGCATCTTCATCACAATCATCTTCTGGATCTTTACAACCCATTGAAGACTTGCCCCTAAAGCTTCAAGAGATAGTCAGGCTTTTCCAAGAAGTAGAGCAGCCCAAGGCCAAGTATGAACAGCTTTTGTTTTACGGGAAGAATTTGAAACCTTTGGATGCTCAGTACAAGACTGCTGAGAATAAGGTCCAGGGGTGTGTTTCACAGGTCTGGATCAGGGCATTCCTTGATGAAAATAAAAATGTCATCTTTGAGGCTGATTCTGACTCGGTGCTAACTAAGGGCCTTGCAGCTTTGCTTGTTCAAGGACTTTCTGGATGCTCTGTTGATGAGATTGTGAGGGTATCACCTGATTTTGCAGTACTGCTTGGACTGCAACAAAGTTTAACACCGTCTAGGAACAATGGGTTATTAAACATGCTGAAGTTGATGCAGAGGAAGGCTCAAATGTGTGGGGAAACTGAAAATAAGGGAAGTTCAAACCCTGATGAGGGTGCTGGTAAGCCAGATGAGAGCATGAATTTGGGAGTGAGTGATTATGGGAATGGGGATGCGAAGACTGGAGTCAATTCTGAAGAGACTGGTGGCAGTGATGACAAAGAAGTATCACGTGATAGTGTTGCTTTGGGAAGTCGGGGGATCAGAATAAGAGATACACTGGAGATGGAGCTTAGCCCTTGTGATTTACACGTCGAAGATGTATCATATCAGCATGCTGGCCATGCTGGAATTAGGGGAAGAACCCATGGAGAGACACACTTCAACGTGAAAGTGATTTCTGAGAAGTTTGAGGGGAAGAGTTTGATTAAGAGGCATAGATTGATTTATGATTTGTTGCAGGAGGAGCTGAAGGGTGGACTTCATGCACTGTCCATCACTGCTAAGACACCATCTGAAGTAAGTAGTAAGTGAGGTCTACAGCCTGAAAATGGTCTCAGGTTTCCTTCTCATTTACGCTGTTATTGAAATGAGTTAATATCGGTACCCACTGTTGTTGGCTTTCTTTCTGCTTCCCTTTAGGACTATATAAAGCATAATGAATTTCCAAAATTGTGCCCATTGTGATCGAGAACTAGGTTTCTGATATGCCTTATTCACCTTGGATTTTTTTTTTGTTTGGGAAATTAAACAAATGAAAAGCTATGAAACATATCTTCTGTAAAGGATGCCAGCTGGAGTTTTGTTAGTTTCTTGCTTTACTTTGTCTACGTTTGGGTAATTGACTTTGTTTTGCTACACCCTGCTTCTCTTCCGTAACACCATTTTCTCTTATTGTTCTTCAAATAGTTTCCTTCCTTACCCTAGAAAACTTTTATGTTCCTATATCACTTTTGTGGTTTCCATTTTCCTTTTTGCTAATGCCAATGTACGATAAGAATTATGATATGCAACACACATTGACTCTCGTGTTGCAAATTGTAGAAACAATCCAAAATGAGTCCGAGAATTACATATATAAGAGATAGGGAGCCAATCTGTCCAGGAGACTTTACAAGATAGAATTTTACAATTATTCAGTAATAAATATATACAAACATAGTGGGATAATTTGAAAGACAAATTTGATGTATCCAAATAGTTGAGGTGGCAGAGTGTTACTTTCTCTTGGAAACAAAATTACAAGATAGAACACCCTTGAAAACAATCACATTTGCACTCCTCTCTGTGGTCTTCCCTTTTCTCGTATTGCTGTAGCTTTCTGTATGTTCATTGAATCAATCAATTTTCACTAGGAGTTAGTTGATCACTTCCATAATAACTAGAAAATAGACATACATAATAATAAGATCATATATTTGAGAAACATCCCAAATTCAACGGGTTACGTTAGTTCGTGAAATTTATCTAGCCATTCTTTATACTCCAGGTTTTCCCAGGGATTAGTAGATGATCTTACTTGGAAATCAGGATATCGGCAAACTCTTTATAATTAAGCCCCCCATTCTCATCAGTATCGGCCTCTTCTATCATCATATTCAACTCTTCGTCAGTTAGCTTCACTTTAAGATTGTGCATCCCTTTGCGGAGTTCGTCTACAGAAATGTGCCCATCCCCGTTCGTATCTAAAGTCTTGAATGCATCAATACATTCGGCTTTTTTTTCCAACCATTTCAATATTAGCGTGCGAAACTCATCGTAGTTTACCGTCTCATTCGCATCTTTATCCAAGTCTTTGATCATTCGTTGTAGGTGTCGTTCACTTAATCTTGGTCCCAATGAATTCATTACTTTGCCAAGCTCTTGAATACTTATCTCTCCTACATACCAAAGTTAAACAAGGAGTGCATGTCTCTGTGTCTTAGCATGACTGTAACGTTGTAATACATTTTCATAAACTTATTTGTATCTGCATAAATGCAAAAGTCATTCAACTCTTCAGTGTCAAATAGGGACCCTGGAGTGGACACTAGGGGAACGGGCCAAGACCCGGTTATTTTGGTTACCTATGATGTGAGTAGGTTCATTCTTTACTTTTTCATGTCTGGTTTTTTTACTATACAAATATAGGGAAAAATACTAAATCAGCCCTTAAAGTGCAACCAAATTCTCCGTCTCGATAATAAGGTGCAAATAATCCCTTAAATTAGAAAAAAACTGCAACCAAATTCTCCCACTCGATGATATATGCAAATAGTTTTCTTGGACGGTAATTTATTGGTCAAAGCTGGTGTGCGTCATTCATTAAAAAATTATGCTACATAAGATTCATTTATTCGCCTCAATATATCTCACTTTAACCTTTTATTGACTACTTATAGAATGAGGTCGAACATGCAATCTTTTGAGACGCTTGTGTGTTTCCACGATTGGTTGAAGACCCGCCTACGAACTCAAGAACTAAACATAACACTGCTAGCGAACTCAAAAACCAAAGATGTTTATCTCATATAAATATGGTTTTAGTCTCTGCAAATCTAAGACATTTTGTTTTACATTCTTGCAAAAAAAAATTCATCCCTGAAATTTATGTTGGTTTTCTTTTTAGTACATTCCGAATGATAACAACATCCATTTGACCTCAAAATAACCCCGACTAATAGGTTTCCTCTAATTCTTTGTCATGTTATCCAAAGACTATTTAGAGCTCGTTTGGTATCCCTGTTTTTCGGCTTATCAGTCATTTTTCATCAAATACGTAACTTTTGAATTGTGTAATAATAAGAATAAGTAAGGTTGTAGTTACTTTTCTGGCTGTATTGGCTAAAGTTACTATAAAAGATCATTTTAGCTATTTTTTCATATTTTTGTTTTTTTATTTAGTTAATAAAATATATTTAGATATAATTTTTTGAAAAATCAGCAGAATCAACGAATCTATCCACTTTAGCCAGAACTTTCATAAAATTCAGCAGAATCAGCCAATGTAGCTGATTGGGGTATTTCCAAATGGGATCTGAATTTTAATTTTAGGAAGGTGTTTAATATATATTTTAAAATGTGAATAATTAGTTTACATTGTTTTAACTCGGATATTAGCATCAAATGAATTATAAAAGGATAAATCTTAGTCTTTCTAGTAGATTTATGCAACTCACAATATTTTTTTCTAAGAATGATTTCGGAGATAGAGATGGATTAAAAATAAAATAGTGCATATTATAGGGACAAAAAATATGTTGCATGCACAAAAAAAGTGTGACATATTTGCAAGGAATAAAAATATATTTAACCCTTCTATTTTTAATGTGTATAGATTGTTGTTTGTATTAATATAATTGTTTTAAGTAATTTTAAAATGAAGTGGAAACATGAACCTTATGTGGCATAATTTTTTTAAGAAATGACAAAGATCGGCTTTAACCGGTAAGTTACCGCTTAGGAATGCCATTTGCACTTTATCGCCGACTTACAGAATTTGGTTGTAGTTTTTTAGTTTAGGTGGTTGCATGTTCTTTTAATTTAAGGGGTGATTTGGTACTTTTCCCTACAAATATAGTACGGACTACGGAGTATTATATTAAGAAACCGTCTGATGTCATTGTTTTTGGCTTGTCAGACTTATCAGCCAACTTTTTCACCAAACATAACTTTTGGTTTGTGCGCTGAATTGTATAATAATAAGAACAAAAAGTAAGGCTAAAGATATTTTTCTGTCTAGAATAGCTGAACTTACTGTAGAAGATCATTTTAGCTATTTTTTTATATGGAGTATAACTTTTTCTTTATTTTAATAATAAAAAGTATTTTAAATATAAAATTTTCATAAATCAACAGAATCAACCAATACAACCACTTCAGCCATAATTTCATAAATTTCAGCAAAATCTGTCGATTCTGCCAATCAGAACATATACAACTTGCCTTGACTCTGCCCCTGATTATAGTTATTATTATACTCCCTCTAACCCTTAAGACATTGTTAAGTTTGACCGACACAGAGATTAGTAAAGTAAACACTGTGTGGTTGAGATTTGTGCAAAAGGGAGAAGATCATAAATTATTTACTGAAAATAGAAAATGACAAAATTAGTTAGACAATCAAAAAAGAAAAGTTAGGTAAAGTTTTAAGGGAGGGATCATGGTTTGAAATGGCGGTCCACTACTGCTATATCGGCCGCTATATAGCGGTCGCGGTAGCCTTCGCTACCGCTACGGGCCACTATTGTGGTGTGAAATTCAAATAACACTGAAATGCGCTACGCTACCGCTACAATCCGCCACGCCGCCCGTTACGCACCGCTACCGGCCGCTATCGGCACCTCCGGCACTGCATCACGACTTGGTTGATGTGTAAATGTTTTGTGCATGGTGTGACATACATTAATGGTAGTATATGAAGTGAAACACTATGTATATGTATACATATGGTGTATGGGACCAAAAATTTCCAACGTAAATGCATGCGCATGCTCACCAAAATTATTGTAAACGTGGGCTAACAAATGGCTACTCTCTTCGTCCCAAATTGAATTGCAAATTTGGCCTTTTGGGGTGAAATTGACTCATTTTAATGACTTAATTAGGATATAAGTTCTTAATCAGATTTTAATGTCATTTATACATATGTAAATTTTAATTATTAAAACCGAATTAATTATTAATAAGGATGACGAGGAACAAACTGTGAGAGAAATTGGAGCACATTTAGCTATATAGCCTATATCCACACGAAGACGAGGAAGAGATTGGAACATATTTTATTATTTCAGTACGTAAATGTTGGGCTGTGTTTGTAATGTGTCATTTTATGTAAGAATCTATTTAATCTAAGGGGGCGTTTGGTAGGATGTAAAATAATTACTTTGCATGTGAAATGTAAGGACGTAAAATATTTACACTGTTTGGTTTGATTGTTTATTGTAAAATGTAGGATATTTTTTTAAAACATTTTGCACTGTACCATGTAAAGTATTTTACATGGGGGAGGGTGGTAAAATACTTTGCACGCCTTTATGAAGCACTGCAATGACTTTGCGTGTAATTTAAAAATAAATTACACCTCTGACCAAACAATGTAATCTATTTTACATGCAAAATGGTTGTTTCCTTATACTTTGCATGTAATCACTTCGCGTGCAAAGATTTAACGTGTAAACTACCAAATGATCCCTAAGAATGTGTTAAGACTTGTTTAGATGTTCAAACAAATATTCATAATGTTCCTATTAACTTTTCACCCATTAATTTAATGTTGTGCGCACTTGCAAATATTTCATGTCGCCGCAATCGCTACACGCATCGCAGCGGCCGCAATGGCCGCTACCGTGGTAACCGCTACTGCTGCCACTGCCGCAATTTAAAACCTTGGGAGGGGGCATAAAGAACCAATTCCGAAAGGATACGAGGTTTTCCGGTTATGAATTTTGGACAAGTGGAAGCAACAGGCGATCAGTTATTGGTTTAACATAAAACCCGCTAGCTCACTTACCATCTCCATTTTTATCGAATGAGGCGAAGGTAGTTTTTGTCACCTCTTCTATCTGATGGGCGAGGTTATGTTTTTTCACCATTCTTCTTGTGGAGGAAAGAGGAATCCTGCACTAAAAGAAGCTAGGAGAAACTTCCAGTTTGTCTTGATTTATAATTAGGAATTTTCGTCGGATGTGGGAAGCAATGGAGTATAAAATTACATACTCCCTCCGTCCCGTTAGAAGATTCCCATTTTCCTATTTTGGACGTCCCATAAGAAGGTTCTCATTTCCATTTTAGGAAACAATTAACAATCTTAAGCTAGTGAAAAATTAATCATTAAATATTAAAAATAATACATTTATAACATCACAATTTTCAATACTAACTACATTATAATGTATATCTATTAAAATTATTTCTCAAAATATACTCAAATACTTTATTTAATTATCACCTAAATAACTGTGCCGTTTTGCTATGGGACGGAGGTAGTTGTTGAGTAGTACAAGTATTATGCTATGCTATAAATTTTGATATCTTTTCCAAAATACCACCAAGTTTTTAGTCCTTAATTAAATAGAAGGTCTAATATTACTTATTCGATTGCTTTTTCTTTTGACTTTTTATTTGAACTAATGTGATGCTTTTCTTGTCTTCGAGCGTTTCTTGCGGTCTAAGCGTCGAATCCCTTTAATTTCCACTCGGTTGAAAAAAAAATTGGAATTTAGATGGAATTTTTTAGGTATGATTCTCATTTAATGTTTTGGACATGATGATTCTCTTTTCATTTTGAAACATTTTAAGGGTGTTAAATGATAACTTCGTCATATTTATTTTAAAAAATAATATACCCGTATTAACACTAAGCTATGACTGTTCAATTACTCCACCTAATTATATTCACAATGCCGATTTATTAACTTAATTATTTACTTTGTTTAATTCTTTCTTTCTTTTGGCACTATCTTCCCAATCTGAATAGGAGTAAAATATGACCCTATTTTTTACGTAGAAGTCTACTACCATCATAGTATCATATCAAAATGCATGAATATTACTCTCTCCGTTCCCTTTTAAATGTCCCGTTTTATCATATTGGGATGTCCCTATTTAATTGCCCCATACCTTATTTGGTAAACTTTGTGTGGCTCAAAATCATTCTTACTTTATTCTTACTTTATCAATTAATATCAACCACGCAAACTCACTTTTCTTAAAACCCGTGTCACCATCTCCCGTCCCATTTAAAAAGGGACGGAGGGAGTATTATATATCTATTCCTTTTTACTACATTTTTTTTACTTTTAGTTTCTCTTTAGTACTCGGAGTCCATGCAATCGTGTGCAACTGTGCAAGTTTACCTTGCAAAAACAATGTTACTGTTGTTATCACCACCATTATTCGTTATCATTATACATCACACAGTCACACATTGAAGCATTAACGTTCCAAAAGATTGAGAAGCCGTTTGGCAATTTTTTGGCTTATCAAGCTTATCGGCCAACTTTTTCACCAAACTCTAACTTTTGTTTTCTCGCGCTGAATTCTGTAATAAGCAGAAAAAAGTAAGGTTGAGGTTACTTTTCTGGCTGTATTGGCTGAAGTTATTGTAGATGACTATTTTAGTTATTTTTACATATAATTTTTTCTTTATTTTATTAATAAAATACTATATATTTTAAAAATATTTTTTCTTAAATCAGCAGAATCAGCCAATGCAGCCACTTCAGCCAAAACTTCATAAATTTCAGCAGAATCAGTCAAAACAGCCGATTTTCGTGCTACCAAACGAGCTTTGAATCCCCAACTCTAAGATTCTCCATGCTCTGACCGCACAAGACATTTGGAAGGTTGTAAGTCACAATGATTCGTTCAGTTCAATGAGGATAAATCTTGTACTCATGTGCATCAGAAATCCAGTCCAGCGCACATCATTAAATCTTGAGGTATTGTTTGTGTACCCATACAATAGAGTAAATACAGATGCCCAAATGCTTATTTACATATGCAAACAAAATTACAAAATTGCACACCTACGGAGACAATCGCATGTGCACTCTCCCTGTCCATAGTCGTCTTTTTTGCCTTCCGCGATCCTCTTTTGCCTTCTGTACATTAGAATATGGAAATTTGAATAAATTAATTTAAGTTTTAACAGTTTGTCACCCAGTAGTTACTTGAAGTCTTAAACATATTGGCCCATTTGATAAGTGTGCCAATCTGCTTCAATTAGTGAATTTCTGGATCAAGCGGTTGAATAAGCTTCATGAAAATCTTCTACGAAGTAATTAAAATGAATTTCATTAATGAAGTAATGAAAAAGTTGCATGAAAAATAGATAAGTATTCATCTTCACCAAATTCACTCGTAACGTATTAATAAGTTGCATTAAATAAGTATTTCGGGCTCTGAATTTTTTTTATTAATACGTACTCCATTCGTCTCACTATAATTGCTCCATTTTTCCTTTTACGCAGGGATGGATTTAAGGGGGCGCGCGGGGGTGACTGCCCCGTTGGACTTTCAAAATTTTCTATTATATATGTAATATTTTCATAAAATTTTCATACTTTAGTTAGATATATATTTATTCGTCCCCCTTAACTTTTAGTTTTCAAAATGAATTAGTTTTTTAAAGGTAGTTTTCAAAATTAATATGTAATCTTACATAATGTAGTACTTAATTGGAGATTAAAAGAAGAAACATCTAAGACAAATAAATAACAGAGTAACTCATTGTTTAAGATTTAGGATACTTATTATATAAAAATTCCTAGGTTTTGTAATGTTTAATTATCTTTATTAGATAATTAGTACTCTATTTTGTAAAATATCAAATCATATTAAATATCAGACACACTAGTTAATTTTTTTAGATCATGTGAAGTGAATCCAAAATATAAATGTTTGTTGACACTTAACATTAAATGTATAACACAAGTGATTTACTTCTTACTTTCTAAAAACGATTTATTGCATATATAATAAACGTTAACTTATTCTAACATTAATACAAATATAATATGCACCATATATAAGAATCTGCCATATAATATTATTCTAAACATAATAATTTCATACGTATTATTGTAATATTAAGAAAACTTCTCGTGACTCATGAACACCCTCCTTGGTAGACATTTTGCAATTCAAAATTCAATTCTTTATTCCAATAAGATTCATGTGTTAAACAAATCGGAAGTTATTTAAAAAGTATTGATGGATGTACAACTTTTAAAGTTTTTATATTCAAATTATTGGATAAAATTTACATATCTTTTTTTCCCAAGTAATTCCCCTTTAATTTGTTACGTAGTATTTTTTACCCTTAAATGTATAAATACATTTTTCTAAATGACTTCAATTATATAATCAAAGTTATTATTCCATTATCTAAGCTTAGAATTCAATGGATTTAAATGTCGTCACGTATGTTTTAATGGAATTTTTTAAATGAAATAGCCGCAGAGCCCTACACTTGTGAAAAAATTTCGCTACGCCACACCAGTGAAAATAAATTTGCCCCGCTACACTGCCGAAAATTTTATCACCCCTACACTAACGAAAAAAATTTCGCCCTCCTTGACTCAAAATCCTAGATCCGTCCCTGCTTTTACGTCCGTCTCACTAATGTTGTCACATACTACCTATGTCCCATATTGGTTGTCCACTTTCAATTTGGCACGATTATTAATAAAGTGGTTGAAAAGTAAAAGTTGTGGTTGAGATTTGAGTAGAATAAAGTGAAATGATATGAACCACACATTTCTTGCCAAAAAAGGAAACAAGACATTCATTTTGGGACAAATAAAAAAATAAAGTAGGACAGCCAAAATGGGACGAAAGGAGTATCATATTTAGTAATATTTGTGTGGTTATTACTTTATTCTCACTTTATCAATTCATTATCAACCACATAACTCTACTTTTTGTTAAAACTCACACCACTCTCCTTTGTTCCAATCTTAGGGGTAACTATATGGTGAAATATTTGTCTCACACCGGATTGCTATAAAATTATAAAAACTCTATTAAGATCTTGTGTTACTTCTTCTAATAGGTTTATGTTATGTCAGGATGTTTTCTTTTGGACTGTTTTCAGTTCCGGGCAAGATCAGACTTCCATAGTTATAAAATACACAAAGACCAGACATTTACCAAATCAGACCAGATCAATAAATTTCAGACCAAAAGAAAACATTGATTAATGATTAATAGGATAGAGTTATGATCATACTTGGACATGAGGATCTTGACAAACTCTTCATAATTAATGAACCCATTCTTGTCAATATCGGCCTTCTCTATCATCTCATCCACCTCTTTGTTACTCAACTTCACGTTGAGCTTTGGCATCACTTCCCGGATCTCGGCGGCAGAGATGTGGCCGCTCCCGTCCTTGTCGAAAACCTTGAACGCCTCCTCCAGCTCCGCTTCTGCTTCTTTATCCTTATCCTTCAATCGCTTACATATTAGCGCACGGTACTCAGCTATATCTACCGTCCCGCTCCCGTTTTTATCCACTTTATTGATCATTTCCTTCACCTCTGCTTCCGTCAAGCTCTGTCCCAATGATCTCATTGCTTTTTCCAGCTCTTCTGTATTTACCTTACCTGCCACATTTACACAAGCTAAATTTGAAATTGCATAAATCAAATGCATATGAGAGAAATTTACTTTCTTCGGTAACATATAATACATGAATCTGTACTGATCCCACGCCGGTCAATTATGGGATTAACTGGTTGGTGTCTTATAAGCTAGGTGTCCCTCCTCCTAATCGGCTGGTCTTTTGGGAGTGATTTCTAAACCTGGACTTAGGGCCTTGTTATGAGCTTGGTATAAGCAATCTTGTTTTAGGGCCTAGAGAAAGAGTATCTAAAGATACTTCAACGCACTCCTCTCCTCTCCTCTCCTCTCCTCATGATCGAGCTCTTTGTGGAGGTGTCGTGCTGTCGTTCGTTTTTTCGTCGGTTCATCAGCGTCATTTTTTATAACCGTGTGGTCTTTTTTTATAGAGGCCTACACCATAAGTCCATAACTATGGATCGTTGACTTTGATACGTGTTAAGACTTGAGATTTCAGTCTAGAAGGTCTATTGTAAATATAAACTTCTAGATCGAGTTATGGAGGACTAATTAAACTAACTAACCGTTTCCATCTTTGTCAATGATTTTGAAGGCTTCTTCGTACTTGGCCATCTCATCTTCACTCACCTGATGATGATGATCCACTACCATTCTTGGTCGATACACGAAAGACAAATATATAGAGAAAATTATATGGACAATTAATTGAAGAAACAAACTGAAACACTAACACTACTGATCGATTTGTGTTTATTTATATACTACGTAGGACTAAAATGTTTAACTTGACTCCGCCAGCTTAGTCTTTGTCTTGTCTATATATAATCACACGGTATGTATATATAGAGAAAAGCCAAGATCCCATTAGCTGAGATATTTCCACTAGTAGCATAATATAACTTGGGACAAAAACTTCACTTTTATGACAAGGATATAACTTATCATTGGCCATTTGTTATCACTGCCAGGGGCGGATCTAGCGTTGCCATTCAGGTGGGGCCAAAATCTAGGATGTTTTTACTTGAATTGTAATTTGCTAGTCTGGTCTGGTCTGAACTGGTCTGCTCTGGTCTGGTCTGGTTTCTTTGTATTTTTATAGCTATCCAAGTCTCGTATGCTCTGGTCTGATATGGTTTGGTCTGGTCTGATCTGGGTTGGGACAAATCACAGTCTAAGTAAAAACATCCTTAATTAAATAACGTATATTGCAAAAAAAAAAAATTGTTTGACTTGACACAATTATTAATGAAATTGTTGAAAAAGTAAAAGTTGTTGTTGAGATTTGAGTATAATAAAGTGAAATGATGTAGGCCACATATTTCTTTCCAAAAAAGGAAGAAAACACTTATTTTGGGACAAAATAAAAAGGAGAGTAAAACAGATAAAATGGAATGGAGGGAGTATTATATTATTTAACAAATTTATTTTCAAATATAAAATAAAAGTTGTTGCAACTTAAATGTCAAAGAAAAAACTAATTAAATAAATATAACAGTAATAGGAATTTTGTTGAATACAAAAAGCACCTCAAACATAGAACTACTTTTCACCGACCAAGACCAATTTTTTTAGGCTAATATTCAAAACCCAAAAACGTTCACAATATTACGTAGTACGGAGTAGTATTTAGCTCATGCACGTACAATATTGTTATCTAGCCCAAAAACGTAGTACTTCATCCGTTCTTAAATAAGTACAACAGTCAACATTTTACATTTGCTGATGCACAACTTTGACCATCAATATTTATAACACTATATTAGTAAAAAAAAATAAAAAAAAATAGATTTTGAAAATTTACAATGAGACAAATTTAGTAATATTTGTTTCAAAAATATATATTAATACATCAATAAATAAAATGTAGTCAAAGTAGAGCTTGTGAATAGTGTAAAATTGGTATGTTGCACTTATTTAAGAACGGAGGTAGTATATGTTTCAAAAAGAATTCTTCAAACATGAGCTTTAGGTGTGGGACAAAGAGATTTTAGAAGGAAAAAAACTGAAAATTTTACACCCTAGGCTATACCATTGAAAAGTTAAAAAATTATGCTAAACATGAGCTTCGAACTCAAGACATAAGTGAACAAGGCTATGCACGTCGGACTGCTTCCATCTTGCTAACACGGTAGTTATGTACAAATTGACTTCTTTTGTAATTATATCATTACTTAACAACAATACATATAATATAATACTTATATATATTAGTAATTTTATTTTTCTTGAGGTTGGGCCTAGGCCCTGTCTGTCCTATAGCCAGAACCGCCCCTGAATTCACTGCCCATGCATTTTTTGTCATACTTTTATAGCAAAATAATCCTTTTATGAGAAAATATAAAGGAATTGTCGTATAAGAGTAAAAACGTTTGTGAATTCCCAAATATGATTGCTATATTTTTATTTCCTAATTATGAGTAATCACTGTCATGTTTTGGCATTATTAGACTTTAAATATGACAATATTGTTCAAGTTGGACAGTAATTACTCCTACTTAATAAGTACGTGAATACTCATACTTTATCATTTTTTTACATTTTCTAATTTACTCACTTTTTCATAGTTTTTCCTAAAATATTACTACTAAAAAAGTCATGGACAAAAATGTGTATAGGTAACTTTTAGTGACTATAATTGTGTTAAAATTTTACATCATAGTCATTACATCGTAGTAATTTTGAATATAATTATAGTCACAAAAGGTTATCAAGTTACATTTTTGTTCTTCACTTTTCAAGGAATAATATTATTGGAATTTTTTCAAAAAGGAATAACTATAATAATAAAGCACAGCATTGAGATATATGACTGACCTGGTGTAGCTTAGTGGTCTGTTGATTTTACATTCATTTAATGATTTAATCAAAATCGAATCCATTCTTAACTTTCAGTACCTTGAAGGCTTAAATTGAATAAGGGTGGTGGCGTGAATGCGTGATGGCTGATGCATATGTTCTCGATTCGATTGTAAATGTTGAATGGAATAGCATATATATTTGAATTGAAGTACCGATCGAATAAAATGATTGGGATTTTTATTATTTTATTTAATGGGAGATTCTTTTAATATAATTACAAGAGAATATATTCACAAATGTAATTGCATGATTATTAGAAGGGGATTTCACTTTACATCTCACTTTTTGATTGATATTGGATTTTGCACCCTGTTTTGAAAAACCTTGACTTTGCACCCATTATATGACATGTTGTGAAGAAAATTTCTGAATTGGAGTGCAAAGTCAAAAGTTCTTTAAGTGAAATGAGGTGCAAAGTCAAAGTTTTTTTAAATGGGGTGCAAAGTCCAATATCAATCAAAGGTGGAGTGCAAAATTAAATTCCTCCTTATTATAAATGTTGAAAAGACTTCACTATAGTCAATAGACTCAATACATAGTAAAGAAGATTATCATCATGTGGATTCGTCCCTACCAAGCTCAGAGTACTATTTAAAGGAAAAAATGTTCAAAACAAAAACCCTTCGATAAAAATAGGACTCCGTTAGGTGCTGTTCTGTTCGTCTTATTCTTATTACTTATTACTTATTCTTATTTTATTCAGATCAGATCAGATCAGATCAGAAAAATTCAGATCAGATCAGATCAGATCAGAAAAATTCAGATCAGATCAGATCAGATCAGAAAGATTCAGATCAGATCAGATCAGATCAGAAAGATTCAGATCAGATCAGAAAGATTCAGATCAGATCAGATCAGATCAGAAACATTCAGATCAGATCAGAAACATTCAGATCAGATCAGAAAAGTTCAAACATGATTTATCACTTTTATTATTATATTAATTATTATTATTAATATTGTTATTACTATTATGATTATTATTATTATATAATTATTATTAATAATATTAATAATAATATGATAAAAAAAAATAAGATATTAATAATAGTTATAATATTTTAATATAATAATAGTAATATAAATGCAATTATTAAGAAGACTATTATTATTATTACAATATAATAATAATAATAATATGATTAATATTATTATAATATTATATTATAATTATATGTAATTATAATTATAGTTACAATTAAAATTCTTATAATTATAAGTATAATCAATTATAATTATTATAATTATATCTATAATTAATTATAATTATAATTGTAATTAGTTATAATTATAATAATTATAATTATAATTAAAATCATAATTATAATTATGATTATAATTATAATATAATATTATAATAATATAATACTAATTATAATAATAATCATATTATTATTATATTATTGTAATAATAATAATATCGTTATAATAATATTAATTGCATTTATATTACTATTATTATATTATAATATTACAATTAATTTTAGTATAATTATAATTATTATTAATTATAATTATAATAATTATAATTATACTTATAATTATATTATAATTATAATTTATGAATATAATAATTATTTTTATTATAATTATTAATATTATTATTATTATTATTATTACTATTGTAATTATTTTACGGAGTAATTATAATAATATTGATAACTATAGTTACAATTATAGAGATAAATATTGTAATTATAATTACAATTATAATTATATCTATATTCATAATTAATGTAATAGGTATAAATTTTTTCATTTTAAATTTAATTTTAATAATTATTATTATTATTATAGTTACGATTATGATTATAATTTTATTTAAAATATATTTGTAATTGCAATTATAATAATTATAATTATAATTATAATTATAATTATAATTATAATCATAGAAATATTCAAATCAGATCAGATCAGAAAGATTCAGATCAGATCAGAAGGATTCAGATCAGATCAGAAACATTCAGATCAGATCAGACCAGATCAGAAACATTCAGATCAGATCAGAAAGATTCAGATCAGATCAGATCAGATCAGAAAGATTCAGATCAGATCAGATCAGATCAGAAAGATTCAGATCAGATCAGATCAGATCAGAAAAATTCAGATCAGATCAGATCAGAACTTAAAAAATTCAGATCAGAAACATTCAGATCAGGCGAAGAGAACAGCTTCTTAGTCACTATAATATAATGGAATCTGGCTTGAACATGAATTACCCCTTTTGGTACTAACTACTTATGGTACTTAAATCAGAGTTTTTTAAAGCAAGGTATGTGTGTGCATTTATCCTCTTCTTAGTTGACATGTTCTTCAACATGCTATGTATCAGATAAATGTATTTTCAGTTCCCAAGCAACAAACCTTTGGATCAATATCATCTTTAAGATATTATTATAGTGTTTGAATTGATTAATCTATTTCATAATACTCTATGAGTTGGTCTATTGGATGACAAGAAATAATCCTTTAGCTTCATGCATCCTCCCACATTTGTTGTTTCATCTCCTTTAGATGAACTCAAGTCTTTCATATTGCATGGTAACAATGATGATATTTTAGTGAAGTCTCAAGTAATAAAAGATATCTTGAAATATAATGCAAATAAAAATTTAATCCCAAAAGAAGTTGATGGGGATCACATAAACAGACATATAAGTCGTTATCCTATGTTTCTTAGTTTTGAAAAACAAGCATCCAATTAAGTTCATTGATCTCTCTCGATATTAATGTTGATGATTATTTTAAGTTTTTCTGCATGTTATTGGATTCATAGGTTCAAGGCTAAAAACATTGTTTTCTCGTCCTTATTATTGATGAATCAATTATGAACGCATATACATTAAGAGTTTGTGATTAAGACGCCAACAAGCAATTTCCTCTTCTTGTCCTTATTGTGTGTGATTTTCAACGAAAGCAAATTTCCGACACTCATTAGGGTATTATCCACG